CCCGGTCCAACCGCCCACTCCCTCGCCTGTCCGCGCGCACAAATTCGCGACCACAGTCAACACGCAGCACCGCTCCCCGCTGGCTCCCCCGCGGTCGCTCGCCTGGTCGCTCGCTCGGTCGCTCACCAGGTCCAACCCTGCGCCTGGATTCCGCACCTGAGTCCGTCTGACAGAGTTTTCCTGTGCAACCCCGCTTCACCAGCCGCTGGTTTCGCCCCTTACCGGTCAGGCTGAAGAATTTGTTGTTAACGGACTTCCGAAAAGTTCAATTTTCCGTGTTCTGGCTGTGTTTTCTATTGCTAATATTTAGTTGTCTCTAAACTTGGTTGTGTGAGAAAGCACGGACATCCACCTATGCCTCCATCTTGGCGGAAGTCTAAAATTCATAATTCTACATTCAGTGTCCATCTGTGTGCCAATGTGAAGAATCAGTACAGTATCATGTTATGTCTGAAGTCTAGACATACAGACAAGTTTAAGAGTAGTGCATAATGTCATGCAAATGCCCTCATCTTCCATTTACAAGTGAGGCAAATACCATGCTAATTCATGTGCACCTCCAGAACCACTAACAGGAACACAAAAACAAGAAATTGTGCACTCAGCATTACTATAAAGTGCTTTTTCACATCTATTGTCACCTGAGAGGAAACCTGCGACAAGTTCCTTAACTTGTCTTTACCTAAGTGGTACTTTTCTGCTCAAAGCCTCTTTGCACTTCCAGAGAGTACCCAGCAGGGGCCCCATTAAGCTTTCATTAAACCTGTAGAGGCATTTTTTTCTCCCCCATGGATTTCGGGGTAGGATGTGAAGAACGTCCCTGGGCCTTGAACATTATTAGTCAAGAGAGTGGATGTTCAGGGTTAGGTCATGCTGCACCAGGACTGTGCACCAGATCCTGTGTGATAGAGGCATCTGTGGTCCTTACAAATTGAATCATTTTGTATGAGGGGGACTGAAAGTACTGGGCCCAGGGAGGGCATTCTCTTGCCAGTCCTCAAGGTGATAGTGAAAAAATATCCTTCTGGAAATAAATTGCTATAGAAAACTGAGAAAAATGTGAGGAAATGTCTGCTTTCAGTTTTCAATAAAATATGACAAAACCCTCAAATGACACAGCCTGCAGAAATGCAGAACACGAAGAACTAAAACCAGTGACAGATGAAATCTGCCCTGCTGGCAGAGGAGAGCAGGATCCTCGTGCAGAAAACTCAGCCAAGGGTGCAGTCACACATTTGAGAAGTTCCCCAAATGCAGAGCAGAAAGACATGTGGAAAACAATGAGACAAAAGAGGAGGGATATGGATGACCAAGATCTGTCATTTATACTGGGACAAAGACACCAGCGCTGAAAAAGGTGAGCACGTGGATCTGACTGGTATCCTACACCCCAGGGAAATACATGAAAGGACAGTCTATTCAAACTACAGATTAATAACACTGTGAATTTTGGGCTTTATTATCAGGCTTATACTTTACCCCACAGAATATATACCTTTTCAAATACTTTACACATTGAATATAAACTAGACTACAAATAATACCTCAACTATCCCTCCTGCTAAAGGAGGGATTCTATAGGCTCCATACTCTGGCTACAGTTAAAATCCAAAAGCAAATCAAACAATAAAACACACACACACACACACACACACACACACACACACACACACACACACACACACCCGAGTAATTATTGGGCCAAAGGTAAATTAAAATCTGGAATTAAAGGTTTCTAAAACCATAAAAATGACACTAATGTATCAAGTTTATGAAATCATAAAGTTGGTAATAGTTTATGAAATAATAAAGTTGATAACAGCTCATGAAAAGGGGAGTTTTGGGTCTGTCAAGGTTGAGAACTCCAGCATCAGGTAGATTCAGAAGTGGGGGAAAGCTACCTCATCCCCATCTGCAGGCCAACTCGTTGTGCAATTTACCCAGTGGCCACTAGAGGGCAGAAACAGCTTATGCACAGGAAGCTGGGGTTGTGGGCATCAACACGGAATTCTCTCTATGCTCAAGAGCTGAAGAAGTGGGAATCAGTATCTTCATTTTACACAGTGGTAGAGCAGGAATTTTGGGTGTGGTCTCTTTATTTCCTGATTCCACCCTGTTGGTTCCTTAACACTAAGTGTCCTTGCTGTGCTACCATAAATTTTAAAGGTGTGTCCTGCCTCCAGTGGGGCAGCAGTCATAGCCCCAGTCTGCAGGGCTGATGTAGATAGCTGGAGATGGCATCAAGAGATGTGATTCTCAAACTGCCTCCAGAAGACCTCCCAGGCTGGGAGTACTCTCTGTATTGACCTTCCACCTTGCCGGAAATCCTGCAGACATTGCAACATCACAGACTTAGCCAACCCGGCTAAAGAATGGAACATTGGAAAGGTACTTTTCCTATGGGAGAGGGAAGGTTTACATAGGGGTGGGGAGGTGATGGTAGAGCACTTGCTGGGATGCTACAGTGGAAGCCTCTCAATAAATGACTGCTGACAACATTGAGCCCTCTCAGTGTGTTAGGCAAGAGGCTAAACTGTGAATGCGGTTAATCAAGACAGAGGTCAGTACTGGACTCAGCCTGGGCCCAGGCGCAAGGTTGTAGCTGTTCACATTCCTGCTGCCCTAGGTCCAGGGGCTTGGCTGTGGGGAGAGAGTTGCTGCAGAGGCTCGCAGCAGGGCTTGACTTTTGGTGAGTACCTGCTACTGCAGCTACAGTAGGGATTTTAGCCACAGTAGCTAACCATGGCATCAGCCCAGGAAGAAGTGTCAGGGCGAGAAAGCAGGTGTGCCCATTGTCAAGGACGGGCACAGACTTAAAGGCCAACAGCTGCTTGAAAAGCATCCCAAGATGGATGCTTTTCCCAGGAGGCAGTGAAGTGGCTGATGACAACTGCTTTTTTTATTTACTTCAAAAAATTATTAAAAAGATGTTTACTGTAGATTGACATGCATATAGAAAGTACACAAATCATAAATATACAGCTCAATGATTTTCACATGAAATTAATACATCCAAATAACCAGCACCCAGATCAATAAATAAGACAGACATTATCACAATCCCAGAAGGTCTCAAATGTCCCCTTCCAGTTACTATCTAGTGCCCCTCCTCCCAGCCCCTCCCTTCTCAGCTTCAAACCCTTCCATGGCCACCTTCACCACCAGCATTAAAAATTCTTTCTAGGCCTGGCTGGTGTAGTTCAGTGGATTGAGCACGGGCCTGCGAACCAGAGGATCACGGTTCAATTCCCAGTCAGGGCACATGCCTGGGTTGCGGGCCAATTTCCTGCAGGCTATTTCCCAGCAGGGGAAGCACTAGAGGCAACCATACATTGATGTTTCTCTCCTCTCCTTCCCCTCTAAAGATATATAAATAAAATCTTAAAAAAAACTTACTACAAAAATTCTTTCTAGGGTATTCCAAAGTCAATGTTGAGAATCACTGTTTTTATAATGGTTATCAAACTTGGCTGCCACATTCAGAAAAATCAACTGGGGGAACCTCTGCCTTTCGAGGTAGAGTAGGGAAAAGACAGCCAAGGCAGTGTGATGCAGTAGAGAAACTTGGAAGCCAGCGAGCCAGACACTTACAGTAATAGAGAGAGAGGAGAAAAGTTAAGCAAGAGTTGAAGGCAGAGAGGTTCTGAGGTGGGAAGGGGCTTAGCAGTTTGAGAAATTGTCAAGAGAATTTCTGGAATGACTCTTAGAGAGCCAAAGACAGTGATTTAAAATGAGTGGAAGGAGGTAAGCAGAAGCCAGGCCCTGTAGAACCTTATATTTCATGGGGGGGACTATGATGTTCAACCTAAGAGCAATGGGAGCTTGTTATCAATGCAGGACCTTGAGCCCTACCCCAGAGTCTAGGCCTACTGAGTCATAATCTGCATTTTTTACAAGAGCCCCAGATGTTTCTTATATTTATTAAAGTTTAAGAAGCACTGGCACATATGGTGAGAAAAAAACCAGACCACCGAGAGGATAGGCCACTGGGCATAGGTGAAGCACTTTATTTTGAATAACTTCTGATAAAGGACAGTGGTTTTTGAAAAGGTATTTAATATTTAAAAATTAGGTACTATAAACCCTAGAAAAAGATCTTGTTAATTGAACTTCAGGGAGTTTTCTCACAACACAAAATTCCTTCTCCTAGAAACACTTCTTGTGGAGTAAAGTACTCAGCTTCCTTAAAGTGAAGCATGGACACATTAAAAATGTGAGATAAATCATCATATTTGGAATCGCCAGGGCTTGGGCCCTGGCTGGTATGGCTCAGTGGACTGAGTCCCCACCTGTGAACCAAAGGGTGGTGAGGTTGATTCCCAGTTAGGGCACATGCCTGGGTTGCAGGCCAGGTCCCCAGTTTGGGGGCAAGTGACAGACAACCACACATTGATGTTTCTCTCCCTCTCTTCCTCTCTGTCTTCCCCTATCTCTAAAAATAAATAAAAATCATTAAAAGAAAAAGGAAAAAGAAATTGTCGCTTGGCTTGGTCAGCCCTTAACAGAGCTGGATCGGATCTGGGATGGCCCATGTCCCTTAGTAAGTCTCAGCCGACAAGGTGGACTTCTAAAGAAAGTTAAGTTGGCAGCTGTTTTGTCCCTGAGTGCAGCTCTAAGTTGAGTCTTTAATGGTGAAATTGTATAAAGGATATTTGACAAACCTATTTCTAGGAGCCAACCTATTTCTAGGAGCATGGCTGGGTACTTCGGCGAGTAGAGTACACAGAGAAGAGGGCATCAGCTAATTATTCCCAGGTTTAGCCCTAGCTGACCTTCGGCCTCTGACCCCGTGCCTTGCTCGGCGTCTCTTGGAGCAGCTTCCGCCACCGCCCCTCCCACTAAGGGCCCGCCCAGTGGATGCGAGCAGGGCCCTGGGGTCAGCAGTTAGGAACCAAGCTTGCAGGGGGCGGTTCTCGCGAGGGGCGGGATTTGAGGAGGCATCCCAGCATTGGGCCGCTGGGTGTAGGCGGGGCCTAGCGCAAGCGTCTAAGTTGGGCGGAGCAAGGAGTTAGTTGCCGCCTCTGGGTTAACTGGTCTCGGGTGGCCAAACCTCCGGAGGCCGAGGGCAGCAGGCAGACCCGAAGTGGGTCCTGCATCTAGGATTTCCCGGGCGGGACCAGAGTCAGGATCGGCCCTGCCCCAAACCCAGTCTGTGAGGACCTCGGGAACTTGGATTAGGAAGTCCCGGAACCTGGATCAACAAGCCCCAGAGCCCGGAATTTAGATCTGAAAGTCCCGGAGCACGGATCGCGGAGCGGACTCGGCGCGGAGCCTGGAGTCCGGATCGCTCTACTGCCGGACGGGACGGAGCGATGTCGGGCCGTGGCGCGGGCGGGTTCCCGCTGCCCCCTCTGAGCCCCGGCGGCGGTGCCGTTGCTGCGGCTTTGGGAGCGCCACCTCCGCCAGCTGGACCAGGCATGCTGCCCGGACCGGCGCTCAGAGGGCCAGGGCCGGCTGGAGGCGTGGGGGGGCCCGGGTCTGCCGCCTTCCGCCCCATGGGGCCCGCGGGCCCCGCGGCGCAGTACCAGGTAAGCAGGACTGATGGGCGGGCGGCGCCACGAGCACGCGGGTGGCAGGGGACAAGGAGAGAGGGTTCTTGCCGCAACCTCCGGGACAGAAGACACAGGGGCCCTGCATGTGGAACGCACAGGACATTGTGGAGGGCAAGGCCGGGGACCCTTGGAATCTCTAGGTGGTGGTGGAAAACTTGGGGACGGGAAGAGAGGGGAGGGTTTGAAGCAGTTGGGAGGCTCTGGGGACTTCTTGTAGAACAGGGAATTCAGGGTACCTGAGAGATGGAGTTGTTGTGGGAGCCAGTAAGTTGTGGGCAGGTGGGCTGAGAAATAGTGTGGATCTTACGGTAAGGGTTCCGGGGAAGTGATCAGAAAGTTTTGGGAAAGGGCCCTCCCTCAGAAACCAGGGTTACCCTGCGATTGGCCTTGGTCCCAGTCTGCTTTGTTTTTTTCTAGTTGGGAACTGGCAGAGTTCTATCCTGTCTGAGATGGCTCCCAGCTGCTAATGAGGAGGAAGAAGGGCCTGGCTTCCCATGGGCACGGGAGGCCTGGGCTAGGGCCAGGGGATTCTAGCCTGTGCAGTGGAGAGTTGACTCCTGGGTCAGGCCTGAAGAAGGAGGACACAGCCCATCAGGTTCTGGGCAGACTCTCTTTCTGGCCTTCTGCCTGGTGTCGCAGTGTCCAGGAGTTGATTAGTTTGGAGGAGCAGAGAGGCTCCACTGAGCCCTGCTGCTCTGGGGCTGGAGGGGCCTGTGAGAGTTGTTTCAAAGGGTTCTGTCTGACCCCTTTGGGGTTTGGCTTCAAAGAGAGCTTCTCAGGTTGCAGCTTCAGAGGCTACTGAGAGGCAGAGACAGTGCCTGTGTGAGGAACTTGGCCTGACTCTTCTGGTGGGACTCATCAGTCTCCCAGTCCATTGTTTCTGGTTGTTCCAGAATGCTTGGCATTGTGCCCATCCTTTTTCCTGCTCTCTCTTCACTTTTATTTAGCCTTTAGGTTCTAACCATGCCATATTCCCAACCCAGTGCTCCCAGCTTTTGGTTTCTAGCAAGTCTGAAGGAAGGAAGCTGGGGCTTCCTCTGTTCTCTCCTCATGTCTCTCGGTAGAGGTCCCAGAAAATGGATCCTCATAGAACAGGGTAGATGCATGTCTTCCCAGGAGCTCTGGGCTCTCACTTTCTAAAGAGATGCTTAACTGGAACAGTGACTTTTCTCTCTTACTACTCATTCTTGTCCCTCCATCTAAAAAAAAAACAATGGGTCTGTCTGGGTTTTGACAGAGACAGACCTGGTATAGACTGTAGCTGGGCATTGTTTTTGTCATATTGCTCTTCCCTTTGGGGATTCGTGGGCCTAAGGTGTCGTTTAGGGATGGATGCCTGCAGCAGTCATTCTAACCCTGGGCCCGCTAGCTGAGACCTGGCCTGGGAGCCTCCCTGTGGGCCTTTGGCCTGGGAAGGATCTAAGGAATGATAGGAGCCTCTCCAATTTCCTCACCTTGCAACCCATGTGACTTGTGCCTTGGGGAAAGCCCCTGAGAGGGTAGATTCCACAACAACTTCTAGGGAGTGGCCTTGGGCCAATGGTGAGGCTCAGCAGGCTAGCTGGGTAGCCCCTGGCTACTGGGGGTGGGAAAGGGGGTGAGAACATGAGGAAGGCACCAAGCCTCTGCTTTCCTTGGCCTCCCATCCCACCAGTTTCTCATGGCCTCCTCCTCCTCTTTCAGGGAAAAGTCATAGAGGTAGTTGGGGAGAGGGAGGACATAGTTCTCTGACATCAGGGAGGATCACGTTTGGCCTCTTACCAAGTCCAACTGTGTGCTCAAGGAGGAGGGACTTGAGATCTGAGCCACAAAGGGGTTCCTGTCTATCAGGGCGCATGAGGTGAGCTGGAAAGAGCAAGGATTTCAGGGCCCAAGTTGGGCAAATAGGGGAGCCTGTTGACAGAAGGGAAGTGAGGACCCACCGTCCTCCAGGCAGTGGTTCTAGCTGTGGATCACAGTGAAGCATATAGTTGAGAAACAAAAGTACCCCACAGATTGCTGGGTTCACTTCAGAGAGTTTAAAATACTTTTTACTGGTGGAGGGTTATGTTCTCTTCTTCTAGGCCCTTAGGCCCAGCCTCCAGGAGCACCAGTACCACCAGCTATGAGGCAGGGCCGAACATGCCCTCTGGAGGCCTGGAGGCGGCAGCATCAGGCCCAGCCTTCTGTTCCTGGGTGGTGGAGGTAGAGTAAAGCTTAGGATGTGGGTTGGTGCTAGGCTACAGGGCGAGGAGTTCATCACATGCTTCTAGGGTTTAGGGCACTGAGCTAGGCCTGTCTAGCACTGCTGCAGGTGTGGAGTTAGGGAGCCTGTAAGTTCTGGGTTGCATTCTTTTTCATTTTTTATAAACCTTGGGTTGTTTTTTGGAAGAGGAAGAGTTACTAGTGGAGCTTGGTAGGGCCAAGCTGGGACTTCATGAACTATAAGCAGCCTTCCCCTGGGCCCCTTCCCCCTCACCCCCCCCCCCCCCCCCAGAGGAAGCCAAGGGCCCTGGGCGCGCTGAAGGTTCTGAGCCTGGGAAGTCTGGAGCAGATGTCTGGGAGGGGCCAGTTCCAGGCCTGCCTGTGCCGCCTTGTGTTGGGACTTCCTGTTTTTCGAGCACCTGCGCAGGAGGGGTGGTGCCGCAGAGGTTTTGTGAATGCCCTAGTGAGCAGCTTCGTGGGGAACCACAGCTCACACTCTGCAGGTTTCATTGCCTCGGTTGTCCCTCCCCTTTGGGTCAGGCACTGAGCTCACATCTGGGATGTCTGAGGGCTGGGCTTCGTGGTCACACTGACTTTTTTCTGTAAACTCCAGCCATGGCTCATTAAGGCAGAGAAACGGCTGTCTTTTATGTTTCAACAGCTCAGATGAACCTCTCCTCGATGAGGAGAGACTTATTGCAGGACTCCTGAGGGTCCCTGAGCACCCCCAGTGTTTAACTCTCCATTCTCCCAAATGCTTCCTTTTCACGCTGCTCTCCTTTTCCCTTCCCCATGCTTTGGGTCATGTTTCTCCCTATCTCTGCATCTGGTCAAGAATCTGACCCTCTGTAGTGAGAACACGGGTCTCGTGCTAGATGAGAAGAGGGGGAAGAATCTCATCTCCCTGATGTGGGGCAGGGGTCCTTTGATTTGGTGCCAGGCCGCACCCAGCCTGGCTCGCTTGGCTGGTTGTGCTGTTTGCATAATCCGGGCCCTGGGGCCAGCCCTGTGAAGCTGCCAGGAACAGTGCGTGTGCGAGGCAGAGCTGCCAAACAGGCCTTACAGATGCAGCCATGGTGTGAGGGAGCGGAGGGCAGGGGGCAGCAAGTACTCCCAGATGGGCTCCACAAATGTTGGGGAGCTGGACCTCTTCGGGAAATCCTGAGGGCTTCTAAAGAAGCTGTTTCTGTCACCCACATTTCCTCTGCTGACCTGTGACTCTGATTCTTGCGTCCTGGGATAATCTTATCTCTGTTCTCCAAATTGGGATTGTGAGCGCTGAGTTGAGCCAGGTGGTGTGTGGACCATAGGCAGCATCCAGGTGTCAGCTGCTTTGTCTCCCACAAGCCACCCGGAGGCACAGCTCCCCTTTCAGGATCTTCCGGTATAGGGGTTTGGGGGCTGGGCAGTAGGAGTTGAGAAAAGGGTCTAGTTCTGGGATGTGAGTAGGGGCCATATGGTAACCAGATGGTCTCTGTGCTGTGCCTGCAGCTACCCCCGCCAGTTGGGACCTGTCCAAGCCGAACTGTTACAGCTTGCTCACCTGGAGTGCTGCTGCCTGATGGGCTTGCCAGCCCATTGGACTTCTTTCCTTCTCAGTCATAGCACCAGGCTGGCAACAGGGGCTGGGTGGAAGGGCTCTGCCTGGTCAGCCTACTCATATCACATACTCCACCCCACTGCTTGGCTATGACACAGCCCCCTTTCTGCCCCCCCCCCCAGCCTCCCATGCTGTGCTTTTTCCATCCCAGAAGGATGGGAGTGCTTGGTGGGACCGTTTGAGGGCCTCAAGAATGCCTTGAAGCTGGTCTCAGGGAGCAGGGGCATAGCCTGCTGGGGCTAGAAGGTGGCCATAGGCCCTGAAAAACTCCCCCAGGCCTTTCCCTCTGCAGCAGGATTCTCCTCCCACCCCGCAGACTCTGCAGGCCTCATTCATTGGCACTGCTGCCATGGGTTGAAGGGGCCGGGCAGGTATGGTTTACACTTCTGCTCTGTGCGCCTGCTCCCCTTTGTTCCTGGCAATCTAGCCTGGCCTCTGTGGTGTGCTGCTCAGGGCTGGACCTGGCCAAGGACAGAATAGAGGGAATGGGCTATGGGTCTCATGGGGCCCTGCCACTGACCTATGCACCCCCATTGGCTCACTTCCCCCAGCGGCCTGGCATGTCTCCAGGGAGCCGGATGCCCATGGCTGGCTTGCAGGTGGGACCCCCTGCGGGCTCCCCATTTGGCACAGCTACTCCACTTCGACCTGGCATGCCACCCACCATGATGGACCCATTCCGAAAACGCCTGCTTGTGCCCCAGGCCCAGCCCCCAATGCCCACCCAGCGCCGGGGGTAAGCCTGTCTTATTTCTCCCAGCCTACCTAGCACAGCCCTAGTAGTAACAGAGGGCTTCCTTCTGTTTTAAGAGCTCTGAGGACTGAGGAAGACCCAGCATTCTGTTGGGGCAGGGTCCTGGGGACTGGAGGGATGGATGGGGAGGTCCTTTGGACCACTGACCTCTTAAATGAGTTTCTGTCCTTCCCAGGTTAAAGAGGAGGAAGATGGCAGATAAGGTTCTACCTCAGAGAGTGAGTATGTTGGGAGGCGGTATAGGAGGTCCACCCAGTGGCTAGCTGGCTATGGATGGAGTCAGTGTCCCGCAACCATGTGACGGAGAAGGAAGGGAGGAAAGAGCCAGAGCTGCACCTGAAACACGCTGATAAATTCCTTCTTCCTCCAGATTCGGGAGCTTGTCCCAGAGTCTCAGGCGTACATGGATCTCTTGGCTTTTGAGCGGAAGCTGGACCAGACCATTGCTCGCAAGCGGATGGAGATCCAGGAGGCCATCAAAAAGCCTCTGACGGTGAGTGCACCCCTGGCTGTTCCCGGGCCTCTCAAGTTCTCTGCCTCTCCTTGGCCTGGTTTTCCAGGGGCCAAGCAAGGGTCTACAGTGGGTAAAACAGTTCTTCACACTGCAGTGTAGCCCTTTAGTGGAGCATGAACTCAGTTTAATGTGGTAGGACGTGCAGGTTGTTGATGAAATATACAATAGTATTAGTTACAATAATAATTCTTCACAGTAAGGTATTTACCACAGTAGTAAAGGTATTATTTCATAACATTTTTGTTTCAGATGTGTATATAGGTGTGTGTGTATCCTGGGTCATGATTTAAAATGTAAACCATATTGCTCGTGGTCAGCAGTTTGAAAAGCAAGACAAGAGGGTAGATGAGGGTAATTCCTGTCTCCTAAACTATCCCTAGAAAAGCTTTCTTTCCTTTGTTTATTTATTTACCTATTTACCTATCTATCTATTTATTTATTTGAATGATAATCTAGAACAATTCCCTGAAGGCTTTCTAAGAGACAAGAATATTTTGGGGCCATGCTGGGTGGTTGAGTTTCATTTAAGAGCTGGAGGTTTCTGGTTTGCCTGATAGCAAACCAGCACCCTGAGACCTTCGGTCACACCACTGACCCCACTGTGTTGGAACTGTGGGTAGTGTGTCTCTCACCCCCCAAAACTGTGAGTTCCTTGAAGGCCAGTACTTGGATTTCCGACTCCCAATTCCTGGTGCCTAACAAGGGACCTGGCCCACAGTTGCCACTCAGCATCGATTCGGAATGAGTTCGGAGGGGAAGATTGGGTAGCATTGTTTTCTAACATGTTGGTCCACCTCTAACTGGTTGTCTTTTTTTTCTCTTCAGCAAAAACGAAAGCTGCGGATCTATATTTCCAATACATTTAGTCCCAGCAAGGCAGAAGGTGACAGTGCAGGAACCACAGGGACCCCTGGGGGAACCCCAGCTGGGGACAAGGTGGCTTCCTGGGAACTCCGAGTGGAGGGAAAACTCCTGGATGATGTGAGTTGGGGAAGGAGTTGTCTGGAGAGGACTTGGCCTGTGGGATTTAAAGCCTGGGGTCAGACAGTCAGGTACATCCGGGGAAGTCCTGCCTGAAGGAGAGGGCAGTGCTCCTGGTCAGGCTTTGCACAGGGCCAGGCCAGGCCAGAGGTTGATTCGTAAGGTTATTACAATAGTTCTCCTGCAGGCAGTAGTCAAGGGTCATGAGGAAGGGTTCCCCTTTTTAATTCATAATCCTGTGCTGGCTAACAGTGGGGCTGCATGGAGAGTCCTATTCCTGCCCCCAGTCTCTCATTCTTCCCTGCTTCCTTCAGGGCCCAAGAATCCTCGGTACCCTGAACTTCAGGACTGAAACAATATTCCTCTTTCTGGGGCTTAGCATAGCTTAGCTTCGAGAGCTCAGCAGCACTCCCATCTCACTCCTTTCTATCCCCAGCCTAGCAAACAGAAGAGGAAGTTCTCTTCATTCTTTAAGAGTCTTGTCATTGAGCTAGACAAGGAACTGTACGGACCTGACAACCACCTGGTGGAGGTGAGAGTTGACCTGGGGCTTGGGAGAACAAGCTGATGCACCAGGTGGACAGCAAAATGGCCTTGGGCCCCTTGGAGGGCCAGGTGTGTATGTTCATGCCCGTCCCCTTGGTGATGAGTTCTGTTCCCCTCCTCTGCCAGTGGCATCGGATGCCCACCACCCAGGAGACAGATGGCTTCCAGGTGAAACGGCCCGGAGACCTCAACGTCAAGTGCACTCTCCTGCTCATGCTGGATCATCAGGTGACATGCCCTGGGGCCGTGTCTGGGGGACTAGGTTGTTCTTCCTGTAAACCCTTCCTGTCTCTGCCCTATTCTTTTGCTTTGATTTTTCACAAGAACCCCTCATCTGACTCCCTTCTGGCCATCCCCAGCCTCCCCAGTATAAGTTGGACCCCCGCCTGGCAAGGCTGCTGGGAGTGCACACACAGACGAGGGCCGCCATCATGCAGGCCCTGTGGCTTTACATCAAACACAACCAGCTGCAGGATGGGCATGAACGCGAGTACATCAACTGCAACCGTTACTTCCGCCAGGTTAGCTGGGTCACTGTCCCCCTCTGGTCTTTGCATCCCCTGCCTTGCCTGCCGCTCCAGAGGTCCCACTGGGCTAGCTCTTGGCCACATTCTTTACACTGACCCTGGGATGACCCACTTCCTCCTGTGCCCTGAAAGGCGTTTTTGTTACTCTCCTCAGATCTTCAGTTGTGGTCGACTCCGTTTCTCCGAGATTCCCATGAAGCTGGCTGGGTTGCTGCAGCATCCAGACCCCATTGTCATCAACCATGTTATTAGGTAGATGGGAAGGGGGTGATACAAAGGCTCTTCTAAGAGCGATTTACCTTTGGGTTGATCTAAAGCCAAAGAGAAGCAGCAGGTGTGGTTTCCTCCTCCCCAAGGGTGCGCTGGGTTGGCCCAGGTGGGCGGGATGGACACCACTGTGTACTTCCCCTTCCCCTCCTGTGTGCTGCCTGCAGTGTGGACCCTAACGACCAGAAGAAGACAGCCTGCTATGATATTGATGTGGAGGTGGATGACCCACTCAAGGCCCAGATGAGCAATTTTCTGGCCTCTACCACCAATCAGCAGGAGATTGCCTCCCTTGATGTTAAGGTGGGCTCTCTGCCTTCCCAGCTTCCTCTGGGGCCCAGAATGGTGATGGGAAGGCTCTGTTGGGCATTTCGAAATCATACATGTAGTACCTTGGGATGGGATTTGTGTCCAAATCCTTTGGTGTTAGGTCTGGAAACAGACCCCCTAGGAGTGGGGGCCAGTCTGACACATGTATGTACCCCTTCTCCCAGATCCATGAGACCATTGAGTCCATCAACCAGCTGAAAACCCAGAGGGATTTCATGCTCAGCTTTAGCACTGACCCCCAGGACTTCATCCAGGAATGGCTCCGTTCACAGCGCCGTGACCTCAAGGTGTGGTCCTCTTTGCTGGAGTTGATCCCTGTTAAGCTCTGGATGGTTTTATCCCCAGACTGTTCTTTCAGTTCAGGGGCTGATTGGCTGAGAGTGGGAATTAAGCTACCACTTTCCTTCTGGCTCTTTGCAGATCATCACTGATGTGATTGGGAATCCTGAGGAGGAGAGACGAGCTGCTTTCTACCACCAGCCCTGGGCCCAGGAAGCAGTGGGGAGGCACATCTTTGCCAAGGTGAGACTCTGCCCTGTTTGTCCTCCTGTGGTGGTGAGCAGCAGAGGCCTGAGCTGCTGGTCTCTCTGTCCTCCAGGTGCAGCAGCGAAGGCAGGAACTGGAACAGGTGCTGGGAATTCGCCTGACCTAACTGCTCAGGGATCCCTTCCTTTCTTCCCAGCCCTGGAACCACCCCCTCCTCAGCCTGGAAGGGACCACCATCTGAGGCTGCAGACACACAGGATAAGGAAGGGGGTGGGACTAAGGGGTGTCTCCTGTTACCCTCTGCTTCCCAGCTTTAGTTTCATAACTGTAGTGATAGGATTCCTTGTTGCTTGGTCCCCAAAGCCTTATTACTTACTTTATGCATTGGCTTTAATTGGGTACACAACAGATGCCTCTGCCCCTGCAGGCAGGTCCAAGTAGGACTACTAGAGGCCTTGCTTTGTCATTGGAAAGCAGAAGTTTCGGAACCAAAGGCCACTCACTGGCTTTGCTTGTTTACAGACTCCCCCTTGGGGCAAGTGCCCTAGCTGGCTCTGGGGAGCTGGGCAAGGAGGAGGGCACAGCCCATACTCTTCCTAGCCTTTCTAAACCAAAGTTCTTTGCCATTCCTACCAGCTCAGCCTTGCTGCTGGATTTTTCCTTTTTCTTTGGGTATTTGCACTATTTGGGGAGCAGGTTCTTCTATTCGGGAGCCATTTTTTGTACAGGGGGTAAGTTGGGGTTTTTCAGGGAGCCCTATTTGGTGCCTCCTCCCTATTTTCTTTCCTCAATCTATGCAAGCGGCTCTGGCCGCCATCATCTCCTGGGATGTCAGAGGGCTGCCACCTAGCTCTTGGGCCCGGGGCTGTAAAGCCTCCTGGAGGAAGGGGACAGGGGATGCTCAGGTGCTCTGGCATGGCCTGAGGTATGGGTGTATGAGCTTGGCGGAGGGCAGGGGGAGGTGGGGAAGAACTCGTTGCCATTTGGAGGGTGGGCCTAGGGCTTTAGAAAGTGCCACTCTGGCAGGTTTGGAAAATTTCAAATAAATCCTTGTTTATTGGTGGTACCCAGACCTGGTTATTGAATAGTGTAGCCACTCATTAACCGACTGAGGCCTAAAGGGCTCATCCTGCAGAGCTTTATTTGAGGGATCCACATAAACAACATCCACCTCACTTCCATAGCTTCTTGATGGACATGTTTTTCTCACTATCCTTCTGCATGACCTGCAGAGAGAGAAAACATTCATTTCCAAAGTGAGTGAACACAGGCCTTACCCCCAATGCTCTAGAGCCACCATCAGCAAAGGCAGAAAAGATGTAGACCTATACCTTGGCTACTGCCATTTCAAAGTCCTCCTGGGTGACGTGAACTCGCCGTTCCCGCAGGGCATACATGCCAGCTTCGGTGCACACACCCTGAGAAGGGAAAGGACAGGATGTTGCTGGGCTCTTGAACCCACGGCTTCCTGCCGCTGCCCTCTTCCTCTGCCTTGAGCACTCCAATTACCTTCACCTCGGCCCCTGATGCTCCTGGCATGAGCTCAGCAATTTTTCTTAGGTTGATCCCCCGGGTCAGGTTCATTTTTCGAGAATGGATCTTCAAAATGTCCAGCCGGGCCTAGAGATGAGAGGAAAAGACTGAGCCCCGCTGCCCACACCCATAGCCAGAGCCACTCCAGCAATGCCCATCACAAACCTCCTCGTTAGGGGGTGGGAATTCAATTTTTCTGTCGATGCGTCCAGGGCGAAGCAAAGCTGAGTCCAGGATATCAATTCTGTTAGTGGCCATGATCACCTGAGTGGAGAAGGGGCATGGCATCAGCTAAGCCACCCCTGCCCAGGCTGTACCTCACCCAGGGCCATGGCCAACACCGTGTTACCTTGATGTTCTTGGTGGCCTCAAAGCCATCCAGCTGGTTGAGCAGCTCCAGCATGGTGCGCTGCACTTCACTGTCACCTCCAGAACCCCCCTCCAGCCGCGAGGAGCCAATGGAGTCGATTTCGTCCATGAAGATGATAGATGGGGCGTGTTCTCGTGCCATGACAAACAGCTCCCTCACCATCCTTGCCCCTGCGTGGAGGCCAAGCTGGCATTAAGGAGCTGCTGAGCTCCTCACCCTCGCTGCCGCCCCATAATTCTGCTTGGTTTTCATGTTTCGAGCCACAATTACCTTCCCCAATGAATTTCTGTACCAACTCAGAGCCAGAGACACGAATAAAGGTGCAGTCAGTATGATGAGCAACGGCCCGGGCCAATAGTGTCTTGCCAGTGCCTGGGGGTCCATACAGCAGCACTCCCTAGACAGAAACAGCAGGACTCAGGGCAGAAAGCCAGCCCCACGTGTCATTCAGTGAACCTTCACTCAGTGTGTGCTCTGCACCAGATCCCTTACTAGATGCTCAGAGATACGTAAGTGAATGTCAAGGTTCCTTCTGGAGCTTACATTCAAACCACCTCAGTGCCCTGGTAGCCTCCCCCCCGCCCCCAGGACCTCTTCAGCAGGGAGGGCCAGCTTGCACCTCCCCAATCCCTGTACTCATTTGGCCTGGGACAGGTGTAGCCCTCCCACAGAGGCCCTGCTTCTCACCTTGGGCTGGGCAATGCCCAGTGCTTCAAAGAGTTCAGGATGCTTAACAGGCAGCTCAATGACTTCCTTAATCTCTTTGATCTGCTTGTCCAGTCCACCAATCATCTCATAAGTTGAATCTGGCACCTTCTCCACCATCATCAGTGATACTAGTGGGTCTACCTTGTTCGGCAGGATCTTGTGCAAAGTGTAGCTATCATTTCTTAGAGCCACCCGGCAATTGGGTGTCACCTAGGTGAGGGGGGAGACTTTCAAGAGGCTGTACGATGAGAACTGACCCCGACCTCCCACTTCACCTGCTACACTCACATCATTGATGTCGATGTTCTTGTCCACATCTACGACAAACTTGCCCTCAGGATGCACCTAAAGAAACAGGGCTCATGACCTTTCTCGACAGCCACCAAATCACCAACCTCACTTAGGAAGACCCACAAATCCTAGAATAACGTGAAAAATATGCTTGCAAAGCTACACACCAAGATATGGGAATGTAGGGATGCCCCTGGGGTCATGCTGCCTTTACCTTAACCAACACTTTCTTCTTATCCATGGCCCGGACTACTTCCCCCACATAGGAGCCCTGTTCCTGCAGCAGCTGCAGCTCCTCCCGTAATAGGCGAACTAGATGGGAACGAACAGAATGGTCACCAGATGCTTTGGTGTGCTCTCCCCGGCAACTCAATTCTATGTTCATGTGAACTAACCACCACTTTGAGGTTTTGAAGGAAGAGCCACAAAAAGAAAATAAAAATGCATGTCTTTTTTAAGGGGATTACAATGGGGGCTTGGCAGAGAGATGCACATGTAAATGGGAACAGTCAGACCTCAGACCAACTGCCCACATGCACCCTTGCCTTCCCCTCCACCCCTCACCTTTTGCATTAAGCTCATTCCTCTGTGCCTGCAGCCTCCGGAGATTTTGGCTTTTATCATTCACAATCAGCTGTGGAGAACAAGACATTTCAAAGGGCAGAAACCAGTAGGAGGTTAAGATATTCGCTGAGACCCTCAGGCTGGTATGAACTGAGTGAGGGGAGAGCAAAGGCTGCATGTTTTACATTCTCCACTATGATCCTAATGACCCTAGCCTGTCCTTCAGCCCCCTGGAGCCTAGGGCAGCCATCAAAAAAGGCTACTTGTCTAACACTGGTCCAGGAATAACAAACCCCAATGGGGAAATGTTACAGCAAGCTCATGTACTCAATTTCTTGCAGGGCAGCATGTTAGAGTGGCAAGATCTTTGGGCCAGAAGCCTAAGTTCTAGCCCTCCTGCTGCCACTTAACAGCTAGGTAAAGCTAAAGAAAGCCATTTAAAAGATCTAGTTCTGTTACTAAGCTGCTAGTGGGCATAGCATCACTTTCCCTGCCTCTTTTCAGGACTGTTGTGATGAAAAAATGAAATCACACATAAATCCATTTCAAAAATGATAAACCATACACGATACCTGCAAATGTACCCGGAATACAGAGTTTTTTCCTATGGCTTTCTTCCATCCAACTTACAGTAATTATCTTCCTTATTCCTATGGTCCCTGCTCCCTCTTTGGGCTAGAGCACTGGCTCACCCAATTCTTTTTCATTCAGTCCCATGGAATCATCATTGTTTCTGCCTTCCGTTGCACTCTCACGCTGTCCTCACCCGTTTGATAAACCTCATCTCCTGAGCCTGTGTACTCCCTTTCGTATGAAACCCCCTCTATCAGGCTTCTTCCAAAAGGAATGACCTTTTCTATTTGACTCTTGAAGATGTGTGACAAACAATGATCTCTTCCACGCTGGCCGCAATGGAATTTTGTTTATTTGTAGAAATCTGCTCCATCAATCCATCATCCCCCCTTTCTAGCTCCCTCTGGATCTCAGGAGTCCATCCTCACCTGGAGTTCTTCAATCTTGGACAGGTAATACTGGCGGAGTCCACTGCCTGACTTCCCCTCTTCCAGCTCCATCTGAAGACAGTGTAATTATTAAACAACAGGCTAAACAACCAAGGATGAAAGCCACTTCCAGCTTGAACTTTGGAGGTTTAAGATTTGGATTCTAATTCCTTACTGCGGTTCTTCAGAGCCCTCCATTTACCACAACCAAACTAAAGGCAGAATGAGAATGCCGCCTACCTCCTAAGACTTTCACAAGGATCAATACTCGACACGCAGCGGAGCATGCTGTACAGAGTCAGGCGCTAAACAGACGCAGGGTGTTATTACCACAGGCGGAGCCAGCGGGAAGAATGAGTTTCCTGTATCCTGCGACTCGCGGATTTGCCCATTCCCGTTTCCAAACCTCTCACTCGGCTTCCACCGTGTCCTCTCCCGCCGCTGTCCGGACCCACCCGAGCAGCGCTGACACAGCAGATCTGGTCCCAAGCAGGGCCTGGTCTGGATTGGTCCACCCACTCCCGACCTACCCGATCGCCCTGCCCGGGCCGGCGGCCCACCTCGGATCACGCCTTGCTTCGCAACCAGCCCCAGCCCCTGCCCCTGCCCAGCCGCCGCCGCCTCCTCCATACCTGCTCTGGCCCGTCAACCGCCATCTTCCTTCTGTCGCGGACAGCGCCGGCTTCCCAGTCGCCTCGGCGCGCAGGCGCAGAAGCAGGGACGTGGAGCCGGAAAACCGGGGCAAAGTAGAGTTCCGGGTCAATGGGCGGGGTGTCCGGAGAAACAATAACAACTGGGAGTCAGATGAAAGCGGGGTGAGAGCTACGCAAAGTCGGGAGCTTTGGAAGTGGGTGATAAGGTACAGAACTCCTAAAAGTTGCCTTTAGATACTCGGTTTTAGTATAAGTGCTCTATTCTCTTGGTCTCAACTTCCAACTTACAAAACCCGACAACAGAGTGTAAAGATTTTTTTTGTGGCCACGCCCCAAGTGACGGAAAACTTGGAGCCGGGGAAGCTGGCTACGCAAGCGGAAGCGGAAGTACGTTTACTGCTTCCATGTGCCACTCTTTAAAGAGGGTGGAAACGGCGCTGGTCTGTGGTGAGTGGTATCGCGCAAGGCGTGTGATTGCTACTGAAAGCGGAATCTAGTGTTCCGGGAAGAGACCTCCCAATTTCTACTTTCTCCCTAGATTGAGTGACATTCCCCTGTTTCACCATGGGCAAGAAGGGAAAAATTGGGAAGAGCCGGCGGGACAAGTTCTATCACTTGGCGAAGGAGACCGGTGAGTCAGGGTTCGCACCTTCCGCGAGCTACACGAGCGACTTTGTCGGGTTTGCCCCCCTTTCCAAATATTGAATTTCGCAGAAGGGGTAATGGGTTGTGAGGCCGCCGAAATCCCTCTAGGAAAGCACTTTGTGGACCTTGTTATTTTACCGACGCCCACAGGTTATCGTTCTCGCTCTGCTTTCAAGTTGATTCAGCTGAATCGCCGCTTTCAGTTTCTGCAGAAGGCCCGAGCCTTGCTGGACCTGTGTGCCGCGCCGGGGGGATGGTGGGTAACAATCGGCACCTGTCGCTCGAGACGGGCTTGCTGGGCTTTATCCGCCTTGGGGTGACTCAGAGTTGCATTGGGGAAGAGAGGGGGATACATTATACCAGCCTCAATTTCTCTACTCCCCCAAAACGTACACTGCAGAGAAGAGGTTTGTCACGTGTACATATGCCATGCTTTGGCCACTGCGCTTGCCAGGATTCCTCCTAACAATGGGAGTGACAGACCATATTGCTAAGGGAGGCGAAGGGATCTTCCTGAGTATTTTAATCTTTGCTCCTCTTTTATAGGCTGCAGGTGGCTGCCAAGTTTATGCCTGTATCCAGTCTCATTGTGGGTGAGTGACAGGTGGCTCTCCCAGGTGTTTTAGGGGTGGCAGTATAAGGTGGTGTTGTTTAAATATCCCTTTTTTTATGCCTGAGGCAAATTTTTGCAATACTCTGACTTGATTTCTTCCAGGGGTGGACCTGGTTCCAATCAAGCCTCTTCCCAATGTGGTGACACTCCAAGAGGACATCACAACAGAACGCTGTAGGCAGGTGATAGGAATCTCTCTTTTCTGTCCCCTTCATATGCACACAACTACTTCTCTGCCTGTTCCCATCCAGATCTTCTAAAGGCAAGGTTTTTCTTGTTTACCATGCTTTGGGCAGTGCCTGCGTGACATGTCTGTAAGCCAGAGATGTGTCAACTCTAGCTTTTATTTGCTCAGGAATGAGGTGTATAGATTTGGAAGAAGTGCATGGATTTCAGTGAAATCCTTTCCAGTCAGCTCACTGGTAGACTGTAAGCTGTCTGAAGACAGATGTGTTATTTTTGTTCGTCATTGTATTCCCTGCACCAGGCACAGTATTTGGCCCTTGATGGGCACTCAGCAAATGCCCAAGTGGACAAATTGCTCAATTGGACTCCACTTAAAGGCATACCTCTGTATGTGGCTGCTGTAATCCTTTTCCTTTGTAGGCCTTGAGGAAGGAGCTGAAGACCTGGAAAGTTGATGTTGTGCTCAATGATGGGGCCCCCAATGTTGGGGCTAGCTGGGTCCATGATGCTTACTCACAAGGTGCCAGAGGCATGGGGATGAGGCTGGAGGTGGGTGTGTCCTGTCAGGCTGCATATGTCATTAGCTAACTCTCTCTTTCCCACAGCCCACTTGACACTGATGGCTCTGCGTTTGGCTTGTGATTTTCTGGCTCGTGGTGGCTGCTTCATCACAAAGGTTTTCCGTTCCCGTGACTATCAGCCCCTGCTGTGGATCTTTCAGCAGCTGTTCCGCCATGTCCAGGCCACCAAGCCCCAAGCTTCTCGCCATGAATCTGCAGAGATCTTTGTAGTCTGCCAGGGTGGGTGGGCGTCACTTCCTTCCTTCTCCTGACTTGTCTGCCAATTACCACAGCACACTTTCTTATATATCCTATCATCTTAGGATTCCTGGCTCCTGACAAGGTCGACAGTAAATTCTTTGACCCCAAATTTGCCTTCAAGGAGGTTGAAGTTCAGGCCAAGACTGTTACTGAGTTGGTTACTAAGAAAAAGCCAAAGGTGTGTTTGAGGAGTGTGGCCATCCTCTCGGATCCTGGAACTCTGGGGAGATTGAGCCTGGTGGGTCCTATAGATTCCCCAAAAAGGACTGCTCAACCTTCTTTGATTCCCTTTCTAAGGCTGAAGGCTATGCAGAGGGTGACCTCACTCTGTATCATCGAACCTCAGTCACAGACTTCCTCCGAGCTGCCAACCCTGTTGACTTCCTCTCCAAAGCCAGTGAAGTAAGTCCCCAGACTTGAGAAGGGTGTAAGGGAACCCCAGAAACATGGCCTATAATTTCCCCAACCCCTTTTGCTCTTCCCAGATAGTGCTAGATGATGAAGAGTTGGCACAGCATTCAGCTACCACTGAGGACATACGGGTGTGTTGTCAGGATATCAAAGTGCTGGGGCGCAAGGAGCTTAGGTATGTGGTGTGGGTGGTTGTAGGTTCCAGGAACCCCAAAGGTAGGGAAAAGCTTTTGAAGACCATGATGTTAGTTTCTGGGAATAGGATGCTACTCTGCTAGGTTTGGGGTGGGGACCTGAGCCCTAGGATTTGTGATTCAAATGTGAAACTAGGGTGTGGGCCTAAAATAGGAGGGGGCAGGGACATAGGGAGATGGTAAGGTCAGTAATGGTATTTGTGGGACAGGTCCTTACTGAACTGGAGAACTAAGCTTCGGCGGTACGTGGCAAAGAAGCTGAAAGAGCAAGCAAAGGCACTGGACATCAGGTGAGGGGGGAATAAAGCAGGGTAGGTGTTGACTTGGATTGGGGGGGAATGCCTGGGAAATAACCAGACTCCTGAGGATGTTTTGTCAGCCTCAGCTCAGGAGAGGAAGAAGAAGGTGATGAAGAGGAATCAGTAGCTGGGAACATGAGGCAGATCTCTAAGGAGGAGGAAGAGGAGGAACAACTGAACCAGACCCTGGCGGAGATGAAGGCCCAGGAGGTGGCAGAATTAAAGAGGTAAAGGTAGAAGGGTAGGAGCTTGGGGGATGGAGTGGAGGAAGAGAATGAAGGAATAATTGGGATCTTCAGGGCCGGGCAGGTGTAATCTCCAAACTGTTCCTTCAGGAAGAAAAAGAAGCTGCTGCGTGAGCAGAGAAAACAGCGGGAGCGTGTGGAGCTGAAGATGGATCTTCCTGGGGTTTCCATCGCAGATGAAGGGGAGACTGGCATGTTCTCCCTGCGTACCATCCGGGGTCACCAGGTGAGGCAGGGTTGGCACAGACTGAGAAGACAGGAGGCTCTATTTGTGTGTTTGGAAGGGGGGCAGGAATTGAACGTCTTTAAGTATGCTGCACGATCATCACTAATGGTTGCTGTGTCCGAGACTGGGAAAAAAAAAGCCTTCTGTCTCAAAGGCCTGGAAGGAACATAAACCTAACATGGAGTTATTATTATTAGTAAGATGTGTGAGTGTGATTGATACAGATTTATTCTTGCCAGAACTATAATACAAGAATATGTTTGTATAATACATAACACGTAAGAATAGAAGAACCAAGAGGTACATTTTGTAAGAAGCTAGGTTCCAGCAGATGCAGCCAGGGTACCTAGGTTATCAGAACATGTGATTGGAGGGTTTCCTTAGCAGTGTCAAAAGCAAAATGAGCTTTTGTGTGGGAATGGAAAACCAGGTCATCTTTGTTGTACAGAAGAGCAGAACCACTTACCCATGTTTTGCTTCAGTTCCTTCACCTGTAAGAAAAATAACAACTTATGTCCTAGTGTTAGGGGGAGAAAGAAAAAAATGTGTGTTGCCTGGGCTCCTTTATTCAATGGGGAAGAAAATTGTAGATTAATACCTTCTGAGAATAATTTTTAAAAGAAAAACCAGTGTTCCAGAAAACTTTAAGATTCGCTGCTGTAGAGGCCACGGGAACTTTCCGATAACCGTTTCTCCTGCCACTGAAGATGAGACAGCTGAGCGGGACAGACAAGTGACTTAGCCTAGAGTGGGGTGTTTTCGATAGCCCCGCCACCTTCCTGTCTGTAAAAAGCCTAGTGTTTGCCACAGCATACTTCCTAATGTTGCTGAGGATAAACTAAGATGATGGACATAGGAAAAAAGCAGTACGTTCTTTTAAGTACCCTTACTCTCTCTCTGTCAAACTTTAGTTGTTAGAGGAGGTAACACAAGGGGATATGAGTGCTGCAGACATGTTTCTCTCTGATCTGCCAAGAGATGACATCTATGTGTCAGATGTTGAGGATGACGACGAGGCATCTCTGGATAGTGACCTGGACCCAGAGGAGCTGGCAGGAGTCAGAGGACCTCAGAGTCTAAAGGACCAAAAGCAGTTAAGGTGGGGCTGCTGTGCCGGAGCTGTTCCCAAATGGATTGGCAGGTTGAGGGGAGGGTTCTCCAGGGCATTGACCCTCCACCCACTTTCCTTGAGTCTGCAGCGTACAATTTGCTGAAGCAGATGATGATAAAGAGGAGGAGGATGGAGAAGAGAATCCACTGCTGGTGCCATTGGAGGAAAAGTCAGTCCTGCAGGAAGAACAAGCCAGCCTGTGGTTCTCAAAGGTAAGGGGGCTGGGGAGCCAAATAGGGGATTGGCATTCCCTGGAGAAGGATGGCTGAAGATTTCCCCTATCACAGGATGGCTTCAGTGGAATAGAGGACGATGCTGACGAGGCTCTGGAGATCAGTCAGGCCCAGCTGTTGTATGAGAGCCGTCGAAAGGGGCAGTCACAGCCACCACCACCTTCCAGTTTGAAGACTCAGAAAAAACCTTCCCGGTGCCAGGATGAGGCCCCTAAGGAGGCAGAGGCTCCATTGGGGACAGAGGCTCCATCAGGGACAGAGGCTGCCACCGGCACTGGCAGAGAAGACAGTGATGACAGTTCTGACAGTGATAGCAGCAGTGAGGATGAAGAGAGGTGAGTGGTTGTAGTTGATGGGAGATGAGATGAGGAAGTACTGATACTAACCTTTCCCTTTAAGTGGGGTGGGGGTTTCAACCTCTGCTATAGATTCCGAGCTTTAAAAATACTGATGATTCAGCCCTGGCTGATGTGGCTCAGTGGAATGAGTGCCAGAGCTGGTTTGGTTTGGTCAGGGCACATGCCTAGGTTGTAGGCCAGGTCCCTGGGAGTGGGCAGCATATGAGAGGCAACCACACATTGCTGTTTCTCTCCCTCTTTCTAAAATCTTTAAAAAACAAAAAACCTGATGATTCTAATTGAAGTGGTTTGCAGTATAGCCCATGGCAGGGTTTCTAGAAATTACCTAGGCAGTCTTAAGTAAGAGCCAGGGTTGAGGGGAAGTGGGACTGGGTGAAGTGGTGTGGGGAATGGTGGGGCATTCATGCACCTCCCGTTCTGCAGCTGGGAACCACGCCATGGTAAGAAGCGAAGCCGTGGGCCTAAGTCAGATGATGACGGATTCGAGATAGTGCCTATTCAGGACCCAGGTGAGGATGGGTCTGCACCCTGTGGGAATAGGAGGAGATGGAAGTTTCAGGGTGGGAACTGAGCTTGGATTTTTGTATTCCCCTCTCTAGTGAAACATCAGATACTAGACCCTGAAGGCCTTGCTCTAGGTGCTATTATTGCCTCCTCCAAAAAGGCCAAGAGAGACCTCATAGATAACTCCTTCAACCGGTAAGGGGGCCAGAAAATCATGAGATGGGGTTCGTAAGTGGTAGTTTCTTTAGAAAGCCTTGAGTGGTCATTAGAACTGTGTCCTCTCCACCTAGGTATACATTTAATGAGGATGAGGGGGAGCTTCCAGAGTGGTTTGTGCAGGAGGAAAAGCAGCACAGGATACGGCAGTTGCCGATTGACAAGAAACAGGTGGAGCATTATCGGAAACGCTGGCGGGAAATCAATGCACGTCCCATCAAGAAAGTGGCTGAAGCTAAAGCCAGAAAGAAACGAAGGGTGAGTGGTGGGTGAGATGAGGAATGGGTCAGGCAGGGGTGGTAAGAAGTCACCCTGACTGAGGGCCTCACACAGATGTTGAAGAAACTGGAGCAGACCAAGAAGAAGGCAGAAGCTGTGGTGAACACGGTGGACATCTCAGAACGAGAGAAAGTGGCACAACTTAGAAGGTGATGGAGGGAGGTCACCCACAAAGGTACAAGGGTTTTCAAGAGTGGCAGAAGGAAGCTTCTAACCTGTTTCTTCCATTTATAGTCTCTACAAGAAGGCTGGGCTAGGCAAGGAGAAACGCCAGGTCACCTATGTTGTAGCCAAAAAAGGTGTGGGCCGCAAAGTGCGCCGGCCAGCTGGAGTCAGAGGTCATTTCAAGGTAGTGGACTCAAGGATGAAGAAAGACCAAAGAGCATTGCAACGGAAGGAGCAGAAGAAGAAAAACAGGCGGAAGTGAGAGGGTCCCTGAAAAGGCAGTGTGTGGACAAGGAGGAGGGCTTCCGTGCCCTTCACTGGTGTCCGCCCTGCCCTTGCTTGCACTGCAGTCATCTGAAGAGGATTGAGGCAGAGTACCTAGAACTCTGTGATGACCCAGAATGGTGAGGACATCCTCTGCCTCAAGTAAGGACTCCTGTTAAAGCACCGCTGAAATGTCACATAGGTGCTGTGTCAGACCCCACAAACCTGCGAGGAAGAATGGGGGGTACTGGGTGAAAAATACCTTTATTAAATCATTAGCGGGAGTTGAATGTTAGAGTGGCATTCATTCTAGTCTTCCTTCACATCACCATCCTCTTCCATTATTGTTTAAATAAAACCATGACTATAGGTGTGTTTTCTGACAGTTCATGTTAAATGGTAACCTTACACGCTGCACTATTCTAAACCATATTTAACATGTACTAACTCATTAAGTAGAAATGACAATCCACAGGTCCCAGTAGTAAAACATTTACTAGAGCAAGCAAAAAGGAATGCACATCTTAAAGAAACCTTCACAAAGTCACAAAATTCGAAGTATGTATATTTCTTTTATAAACAAGATAGAACAAAAATCCAAATCATTTGAGCAAAAGATTTTTCTATCATTGTGGCAAGTTAAAAAAAATACAGTGAAATAGAATACAGTTAAAAGATGCTGGGTTTTTGTTTTTTAATTTAGCAATACTTCAGACCTGGAGCAATCCTGTTTTCAGGGTCATCATTCCCCCTTCAACAGTGGCTCTTAGGTCATGCAAGCTGCTGCTTCCCATCTCGGGGCTGGATCTGAACCTGGCTGGGGAACCCGAGAGCACTGACTTCCACTTAGGAATCAGACACCTCCCTTCCTTGCAAATGTCTGGAAGCACCAAAGTGCTTTCCAAACACCCCTAATGCCTCAAAGGACTGCATTTGCAGAAGCCAACTCCTAAAGCAACTGTCTGACCACGTAGCTACAAAAAAGGATGTTCGTAAGATGAAATGACAGTAAAAAATATACACTACACATAATACAAACCTAGAATGAGCTTTGTACCCTATAAGGCCCTTTCTTTCAAAGTATCCTCATCTGACCCTCACAAACCCAGAGCCAAAAAGAAGCTTCCCAGCTCTCATTGCTCCTAAGGACCAAAGCAGCTTCCCAAGAAAATAATCTGAAAAACAATCCAGAAGGGGTAATGTCTCCAAGCGCCAGCTATCCACTAAGGGCAGAGGGCCCTTACACTTTGGGCCCCAACCCAGCCCTGAGACACCTAGTTACCAAAAATCTTTCTAAAAATAAAATTAAAGGATTTCACACTTCAGCACATACCATCTAACTGTCCCATCGACTTTTCTTGCGCTTGGGTGGCTCGGGAACAGCAAAACCATCAGCTGTCTTATCTGTCTTGCTGTCCATCTTGCTGTCCACCTTGGGGTCCACCTTGCTCTCACGGTTACAACCTTCTTTCCTGTTTTCACCATTCCGGCCATCACTTGGACCTCGACTCTCCCCATGTCGGCTTCCGCCTCCTCCATGCTTGTTCTCCCCATGACGATGGCTATCAGCATGCCGGCTACTGCTTTCTGGATAGCGGTATCCATCTCCATAGCGACCACCATCTCCATGATGTGGGCTATCGCCATGCTTGCCACTGCCACTCTCTCCATGGCTATGACGGCTGCCACCCCGGTTCTCAGTATATCTCTCTCTTTTCCCATTGCTACCCCCAATCCCTTCTCGGCTGTTACTCCCTGAAGCAGTGTTGTTGACTCCCTGGACTCCAGCAGTGGGGTAGGTCACTGGGGCACTGCTGAGGTTCCCAGTGTTGCTAAAGCCTGGAATGCCCTTGGTGGCACTGGCAGTGGGGCTGTCAGAACTGTTAAGGCCCTGCTGGGCTGAATTAGTTGGAACAGAATTCAAGCTCCCTGCACTTGTCCATCCACTTGCTCCAGCAGCAGAACTTCCAGCCTTCTGGTTGCTTAAGCTGGCAGCAACGAAGTGACTCTTGTACTGTGACTGAAAGAAAGAGAATGAAAATAGGTTAAGATAGTGAGTTCAAGAAACTCTAAGCCTGGTGCTGATCAAGTATACAGAAACTTGGGTGTCCACAAACAAGACAGTATCCATGGTATCTTGGCACTTTAGCATACTGATGGCCCTGCAATCCTGTGGTTTCCATGCTTCTCTATTAGTGAAGAAAGAATACATTTTGGGACCTAACCAAGATACCAGTGGATACTATGGAGAGGAAATGGATAAAATGTGCAGATTAAGGCCAGCTAGCAAATTGGAGGTTAAGTGTAGAAGAAAGGTTCAGAGTTCACAAGAGATACAGAATCAAACTTATCTTAGCTAAAAAGGAATCACAGCCAGATCACAGCTGTGGAGGTGGGCCACACAGTGGGCTGCTGAGGCAGGGAAGGGCCAGTGATCCTGCTGGGACAACGGTCCCAGGCTCTGGGTGTGCCTGAGGCAAATGACTAGCGTGAGGGGTTTCTGCAGCCTCTGCAGCTGCATCTCTAGGTCAGCTGCAGTTAAGTCATATTCAAATGAAAAGCAGTAAGAAGGCCCTAAATCCAGCACTGAGCCTACAAGCCCAGCTATATCTTAAGACTAGGGCCCCTTGTGACTGCCCAAGTTTGGTCCCCCCGCCCTGACTATTTTTAGAGAGAGGGAAGGGAGAGGAAAAAGAGAGAAACACAGATGTGTGACAGAAGCATGGAGAGAAAACACCAACGACATGCCTTCCGCACACCCCCACTTGGGGACTCAGTCCACAACCCAGGCAGGACTCTGGGAATGGAATCAGCATCCTTCCAGTTTGTGGGACAACACCCAACCCACAGAACCACACCAGTCAGAGGGAGACCACCCAAGAGTTACTGCTGAAAGCTCTTTTAGCTAAATGCTTGTCTCAGACCTGAAAAGCCGCTTTCATTGCTGTCAGCCGGTCTCCCATGGCTCCTGTGGAGGGCTTGTAGGCCTCATAGTTGCTCATTACGTTGTTGTTATTCCCTCGGTCCTAAAAAAATAAGGGCACCCATGAAGATGGATGAAAAGTAGGAAAGCCCCTTCACTCTAGACTGGGTCTCAACATACAGAAAGGTAGAGTGGGAACGGGGTTGGGATATTTTTAGAAAGCTACTTATGTTTTATGAGAAAAGGTGCTGAAATGAAGACTCATTTTGCTATGCTTTTTAATCCAGCACTCCTATTTCTAGGAACTAACCCTATTAAGAAGAAATGAGGTCAGACAGCACCCAAAGCTGATTACATGGTATTACTTATACAGGCAAACAGAAACATGTTTATGCAATTATTTAAAAATTACAGCGACAATGAAAAGGCCACAAGGCAGTAGAACACATGCACGACTGTTCACACTTTGAATCCAGACTTTAGGGACTCAGCTTCAGTGACCAGCGTGGAACCTCGGGTGCTTCAGTTTTACTATCTGTACATACTCTCACTGAGATCTTGGTTGAGAAGACAGAGGCAACTCAGTGCCTGCTTGGAATGGCCTGAGCACAGATAAGTGCTCCAAACGAGCTATTGCTATCATCTGCACCATCCGCATCATCATCAGTGTAATGTGGGAACAGGTTATTTATCAAAAACACCAAGTTAACTATAATGCTCCACAAATGTTGACTGGAGTTAGGAATCAAGAGTAATAGAAAATAGGCAGTTAAGACAGCCAGTTGGGGAAGCTTTTGTTACATGATTTGTGAGAAAAGCTATCTCTCAGCTCTCTGATGAAATTGCCCAGTTTAATTTAGTTAAAAGATATTGCCAGAGTTTACACAGTGACCTTCTGGCAATGTCTTTCCAGCAGCAGCCTCTAGGCCAGTCTTGGTAACAGGCTACTAGGCCCCACCCTCCAGACTTTCTGGTTCACCAGGACTGCAGCAGGGCATAAATGCACATTTGCAGCTAGTCCAGAATCACAATTTGAGAACCACTGCTAACCTAGACTGATTTCCTAAGCATGTCTGTCAGCCAAGTACACATAGGTGCTTCTTCAATAGTCACAACACTAGAAACTAGCATTAAGATGGACTTATACCAGCAGATTAAACAAAAGCTCCCTTCTAGATAGAATTCTGAACTCACTGAGAGTTTCTCTGATAACTGTCCTAGCATCACCCAGGACTCAGGACCACCTTGCAGACACTACTGTAGCGCGGACTCACTGTGTTTTCTGAGCCCAGGCCAGGCCGCTCCCTGTAGCCCAGGCCTCCTCCACCGATATTCAGCTTCTTGCCTTTTCCTCCTTTGAAGCGGGATTTTCGAAACCAGGCATTCTGCATTAAACACAATTCAAGGTGAAGCCAGGCTATGGAGAGGGGTCCAGAGGAAAAGAAAACTAAGTGGGACAGAAGAATTTTTTGCTTAATCTTTAGCCAATGTATTTATGGCAATGAAGAACTGCTTATAAGAACCACAGATTCAATCCTTTTGGTTGTTTAATTCACCAGTTTATCAGGAGGCTTAGATTCTTACCTAAAGCTTCCGTTACTGCCCCGTCCCCCAGGCCTCCGGGAAGCAAAGTGATTATTCTGGCCACTTCTAACTTCCTTAAGGAAAATGCATTTATTTTCTATTTTTCAAAAAATCTATACATGCCACTAGACATAAAAATTCAAAGCTTTTAAAGAATTAGTGGGTTCAGAAGTAAAGTGAAAAGAAAAAAAAAAAAAAACTATGAGAAGTAAGGTTTATTAGAATTCACTTTAGGGGCAGAGGTCCAGGACTGGTAGACACATAAAAAATAAAATAAAATTTTATCTACCCATAGAACCTAGTTTTCATTGAACTTGGTCACTGACAGAATACTACGAATCAGATTTATTCACATTCTTTTCTGAATGAGAACATCTCTGGGAGAGGTGAGAACTTTATCTGACAACTTCACAGGACAAAGTTCTCGAGAGACAGGGCGGGCTCGAGAAAGGTGCTCATGAGAGAAGCCCACCAGTCTCAGAGCACAGGAACCCCAAGGCACAAAAATAGATGAGAAAAATGCCAAAGACAAAATGTACCTTCCTCAAAATTTCAGTTCAGGCCTGGCTCTCTACACACATGAAAGGGCAGGAAACATTATTCTACTCTTAAGCAATGCAGGTTCCTTTCCTCCCAGAACCTGCAGCATGAGCAGTAGCACACGACAACCGCATCAAAGGTTGACAGTGCCGTGGGCCAGCCTATCTGAAACCACCTTCATCTGTGCTATGGAAACATGTATCTGGAACACATCTATAATTTGGAGACTGTGTATATTAACACCACTCAAGGCTTAATTTGGTAGAATGCATCACTCAGCTTTGGACTGGTTATCAGTGGGGTCCAAATCTGAGATCTAAGT